TTTATATCGTTAATTAACTACCGCGTTTGTGTAGTGGCCTATAAATTCGAGGAGGTGCCTCAGGAAGGAACTTCAATCGCGGTCATCGGAAAGTGACGATTAGTATAAACCCACCACTCCGTACATGGTGGGTTAAAATACAAATCTTACGTGAGAAAGGAGATTCGTGACCAAGCGATATAAATTGATAGAAAAGATGCTTCCTAATTTTTTTTACTAAATCTTCCTTTTTAAAAATGGAAGATCTTTTTTTTATGATTATGCTTTATAAATAAAAAAGGAAGATTTTTTTTCTTTGTACTAAAATGAAAAAAACTTCCTTTTTATATTATAAAAGTATACATACAGTTCGCTGCTGATCGCGACAAACTGAGGAACTACAGGTACGAATTGAAAATTCATTGCTTTGGTGGTTAGAGCATTTATCGAGAAAGGTTTTAGGTAACAAAACATCACGATGCGACCAATAGAAGTGAAAAAACAGCGGGGAAACGTGAGGAAAAATTGGGAAAAATTATTTATCTTATTTACCGAAAAAATATGTATCAAACATTGATTTTTCTTTAAATGATCTAAAAAAAATGTCCGCAAGCAACGTGGGTAATAGCTATGATTCATATAGATGAGGTGCAGATTTGAAAAAACCAAATTTTGATGCCAAAACTTCTTCGCGAACGAAGTCGCTGGCACAGTTAGTATACAGCTAGAGAAATGAATTTAAGCTATACAAACATAGCCTTGTCTTTCTCATTGCTTTAAATACGGCCACAAAATTAAATCCGATGCGACAGTCCTCTTAAAGCTTACTTAACAGTTTCTTAATTACTGCTAATCTTGCTGCAGTATGCACCTTGTAATTTGCTCTATGTAGCTTCGCAGTTCACGGGAAATTGAACCGGCTGAATGAACCCAAGTGCTGTTTTTAGTACGAGTGCTCTGTCATGAAAAGGCTATTTTCGTCTGCACTGATTGCGTTCAAAGTGTCCATTTGGAATCGCTTTATTGATCAAAGGAATGTTAATTTTTTCCTATTTAGAGTACTTCCTCTTACGATCAATGTTCAATAATGGAATGTTTTTTTCTTTCTTTCCTTTGGATAGGGCTCGTTGATAAGTCTTGTGTCCAATGTGCTATGCTTGCTTTAATTTATTCAAATAAATCACTTTTCACGGTTTAAAACGTGAAACGGAGTAAATAACTTATTATAACCACGATGAGTATTGCTTTGTGGAAGCTCTGGTCACGGCTGCTACTGAATATCCGAAACGTTTCCGCATTTCGTTTTTAAAACCGTTAAAATAGTTTTTTTTTCCAAAGGTGTATCACTCGTGTTAACTATAGATAATACTTTATTTTCAGAAATATTTCTGTGCCAGTAGTCAATAATTATTTTGTAGACGTACGACGACACCTAGGTCTACTCTAAGAGGATTTGATATTTTCCCGATATAAGAAACCAGGACATCTCTCACTTAACAATTAAATTGGATGGTATCTTATCATACACATCACAACATGCTTACTAATATTATAAATGCGTAAGTAACTCTGTCTGTCTGTCTGTTACACTTTCATGCCAAAACTACTGAACGGATTTGAATGAAATTTGGTACCTGAGAAAGAACATATACTTTTTATTGCGAAAAGGGGGTTGTAAGGGGTTAAAAGGGGGGGAGGGGGTGAAAGTTTGTATGGAAATTCGTGGTTTTTGAAGCTAGAACAATGAAACTTTCTTCTATGGCTTTTTGGGAGTGGGAGTAGGAATGAGAGTGGGAGTTACAGTAGGAGTGATGTGAGGTGAGAGTGTTGCGGCAAAGTAGCACTTACAACTTAGATTGGATGCCCTAAAGGTGCTCTTACATAAATTGATAAACAACCTAAATAATTAAAAATTCTACCACCAGGTACTACTCCACGCGGACGAAGTCGCGGGCACAGCTAGTATTATATAAAATGACAGACATCTTATTAAGTCTATACTATTATATTAAAAGTGTTTTCCACAACAAATGTACCATTAATAAAACACTTTAAGTTTAAAAGCGATATATTATTCGTTTTAAATGTTAATGCCATATAACTAAAACACACATTACAGGTAGACGCTCCGCCAAATATATCGCCTTATATAAATTGGACATAACATAACGGTACCCCGAGTCGGATCTCGAAGTGTTTAGTAAAACTTCTGAATTCTGACAAGGGTAAACTGTGTTGTGTTGTTTCAACTTGTTTTTTTCTACGTGAAAACAAAATGGTGGCCATTAAAAGTTTTGACTGACATGGTAATTTCCACAGTTTTTGTTGGGATTTTGTTTAATGAAAGATAAACAATGTTTATGAGATTGTTCCTTGGAGTGAACGACAATTAATTGAAATAGTTAGAGGTAAATGAATCTTATTCATTTTAACAAAATTATAGACATCTTTTGTTTTTTAAATAAAACACTTTAAAACGCGATATATTAGTTAAACTTATTTGAAAATGAAATGCGTTTTAAACCGTTAAAGCGTTTTAAATTTAAATGTGCACTACTCGCGTAAACTATAGACATTACCTTTTTGCTATAATATATTTGATCTAAAATAGAGGTGTGAACATACATTTAAGCATATAAGTTTTTTTTTTTAGGGGAAAAAAAAAAAAAAAAAAAACCCTTTTAAGTTTTTGGTCCGGGGAGACTTTCTCCCACGGCTGCTGGATCCATCGTCAATGTAAAAATAATGTTAAACAAGTTTTAAAGTTAAAGTGTTTTATTTAAGTCAAAAAAAAAAACGTTGACGTTAGTAAGTTACATTTAAATAAAACACTTTAACGGTTTAAAACGCGATATATTAAACTTATTTGAAAATAAAGGTTTACTGTTTTAATGTGCTAAACTATAGACCGTATTATAATGTTACTTCAAAATCTATTTATTTTGAAGAAATGCGATGACACAGGTGAGATGTGAACCCGTGCTGTTGTTCTAACCAATTGACGTATTGTAGCCCTATTCGATTTTGATAGGTTTTTCACATTTCACTATATTTAAAATTTATATAAGAAACGCTTTTAGGTTTAAAAATTCACGGACCCACTATAGAGTGTACACTAAAGCACGTGTCTAACCGCAAATAAGGAACATATTGTTTGGAAATAAAGAATGTGTGCTTTAAAAAATATATATAAAAAATAAGTTGATGACTTGTATTCATATGCTATAAATACACTGAATAAAGTTGGTTACCCACAAAAGGTACATCGATTACTACTTGTGACAACTCGCCAAGAGACGAAATAACTTTAATTTCCTGTAATTGAGCTTTGAAAAACCCATTATTTGTAGTTACCGATATTAATATTACTAGAATTAAACACGTAAACTTTTCAACTCGTATATAACTATAAATTGTATAATGTATTTTGCGGTAACATTGTATAAAGTCAGTCTTCGTTTAGCAAATAGTGCGTAACATCTCGTGATGGAAAAAAGTCAAAAACCTTTTTTCAATGATGACCGACAGGTTCGAATTGCTAACTTACTTTGTATATAAACTTTCTAGTCGATGGTGGCTTAAAGCTAGTTGCAAACTATTTTCAAAGCAAGGAGGAACTATTAGAAGCAATATCTCAAATCCATTGTGTTATCTCTAAGGCTCTCTACGCTACAAACTGCTATTAAAATAAACATAAATATAAGAGCTTCAGGGAACGGATGTACAGCCCGAAGCACCGCCGACTAGAATCGAGGTCTCAACGAATTCACTAACTCTCATTCAAGGCTAACTTTATGAGTAGAACGAAGTTCGTAGTTTACAAACATTGATAATTATTTTAGTGAAAATCACAGCGATCTTTTAGCGTTGTTCTATATATCTCTATTATATTATTATTAAATCTATTTATGTTTTTCTTTTTTTATTTAATGTTTATTATATAACAACCAGTAATGTATAACCAGAAATGGTATATTTTCCAAAGAGTGGAAAAATGTATGATACAAACGGGATTCCAACTCACAACCACCAAGCTACGCTACAGTACTTTTCTGTACTAATAATATACTTTAACAACAACTAAAAAAACTGTGAATTTCCAAATGTCCAAAGCCAAAATCTTAGGTACTCAACGTATCTTGCCGCAATGCTTTATGGCTGGGGTAATTGGGGTAGTTTGAATTCCTATTTTTTTAAATAGAGCAACAGCACAACTCACTGACCATAGATTTTTGTCACAGTCAAATCATATTTTTTTAATGATAAATATAATTTAAAAATCGAAAAGAAATTAAAAAAAAATTTTCGACTCGGAGAGGACTTGAACAGGCATCGTCAGCGTTCCGTGCTGTTGCTCTACCAATTGAGCTACCGAATCCTACACCTCATCGTCGATCAATTTCATTTTTTTTAATTATATAGTGCCTTCATGTGCAATAACATGTACAAAATAATAAAGTTTTCAAATGATAGATATTGTTAATTAAATTAGATAAATACAAAAATTTGAATTTAAATTATATAGTAAAAACGGACGTAATTAATATAGTAAGCAAAACATGTGAGAATAATAAATATTTAAGTGTTCTTGTAAGCTCGTGTGTAACAACGTGTAATATCAAAAATTGTCTTAATTTAAATCAAGTTTTTTTAGAACAGAACGAAAAAATTTACTACATATAATATAAAGATAGATACTGTGAATCTAAAACTGGTTATTTTAGTTTTGTTATCATAGTAATGTACTTAATAAGAATAATTGGTTAATTAGTATTTATCTTTGTTTTTAATGCTAAGCGATATTATTTGCCTTTCTCTGCATAGTTTAGATTGTATTCGTACCTATAGTAGTATATAGTTATTAACTAGAAGTGGTAGACTGTTGTTAATAACTAAATTTATATAAAAATTTAGAAGCGATTTTAACGGAAATGATTCAATTAGTAATCATAAGTTTGATTAGTATACTAACGTTTTATTATTGCAGCATAAGAAAGTATCAATATTTTAAAAGCAAAAATATGAAACACGATCCACCGATACCAGTTTTCGGAAACCACATGCAAGTAAGTCTCGCCAGGCTTACAGAAACTGAAAAATTTACTTACATTTATAACAAATTTACCACTGAAAAAGTTGTCGGATACTATAGAGGTAGTAAACCAGAGTTCGTCGTGAGGGATCCTGATATAATTAGAAACATATTAAGTGTGAACTTCTTGGAATTCCACAACCGTGGACTGAGGTGCGATTCTAAAGTGGATCTATTAACCTTAAGTATGTTTTCGGAGCAAGGAAATGTGTGGAAGCTATTGAGAAACAACTTGGCACCAGCATTTTCATATAGTAAAATTAAAGCTATATTCCCGATTATCGTCATTTATACAAAACTTGCCGAACTTGCACATAATCTTGCTGAAAGAAGAGATATTTGACGCAAACAATTATTGCCCCTACACAATAGATTTAATAGGGGCCTGCGGATTTGGAATTGATATGAATTCTCTTAATAATGAACATTCCCTTTTCTTAACACTTCGTGACATGGTCTTCCTAAAATCCAAGTGGCAACTAGTTCAATATAGCCTCTTCGAACTCTTTCCTGAGTCGTTCATCAAAAATTTTAAAAGTTCGCGCTCCGGAGTTTGGCCTATTATGAAAGAGATTTTTGACAATATTCGTAAACAGAGGTTGGATAATCTAATGGAAAAACGTAATGATTTTATTAATCTTTTATTGGAATTAGGCAAAGAGGGCAAACTGTATGGAGAAGAGTTGGGAATGGGTGAAAATGGTAGGAAAAGACAAATTGAAATCGATTTTAACGAGAATCGTATGATTGCCCAGCTCTTTATATATTTTGTAGCCGGATTTGAAACAGCTTCGACTACAATGAGCTATGCGATGCACGAACTTGCATTTCATCCTGAAATTCAACAAGAGGTTCAAAAGGAGATCGATACCGTCCTGGCTAAGCATAAAAATGAATTTTCCTACGAAGCCATAACAGAAATGCATTTGTTAGAGTCTGTTATTAAGGAATCCCTGAGGTTATTCCCACCAGCTGGAGTAACGCATAGAATGTGCACAAAAGATTACATAATACCAGAAGTCAATGTTAAAATTTAGGCCGGTGTACGAGTGATAGTACCAATACACGCTTTGCACATGGATCCTAAATATTTCAAAGATCCTGAAAAATTTAACCCGAAACGATTTTTACATGAAATGTCTGAACCTACACATAAATACGCATATCTGCCGTTCGGAGAAGGACCAAGAAAATGTATAGGTAAACTTGTCAATTTCGTGCATTCAGTGCGTTTATACTTATTTGTTATAGTTTAAACAGTGGGGGTTCACCACTTTTATCCATCGTAAATTTACCGGGCTGATCTTCAAGATCAAGATCTCTGATCTGATCATCATTTTAGGTAAAATATGGCGTTTCTGGTAATAGGTGAACTGCCTGTTTGTTTGCCCCTACCTACTTCATTCCAATGTGCATATTGCTAACCAAGTCTTCGGTTCTAGGGGCTCGTCTAGGCACTCTAGAAACAATGATGGGACTGGCAGCGACGCTTCACAAGTTCACAATTAAACCATCACCATCAACAACAAGAAAAGTGAAACTGAATCGAACTTCTTTCCTCGTACAGGTTGTAGATGGAGGTCTTCCTGTCCAACTTACTTTAAGACCGTAATTATACTATATTATTATAAACATAAATGTAATTTTATTTATATGTGGTGTATGGGACAAACACAATTTTGTATCCGTTTTACTGACTGATTTACAAGCTTCGAACTCGGACTGGATGGAACTTCTTTTCTCTTTATTGTTGTCCCGGATTCGAACCGAAGACCTGTCATACTTAATGAATGCTAGAAAACGCGTTTAATGACTGAGTTACATACTTTATATATAATAACGATATTTCCTTCGTTACTAAAGGCTTATCTAATAATTTGTTTATAATATAAGTAACTGAGAAATGGTTCTTCGCTTAGACGAAGAACGCGCAACATCGTCTGATGATGTTTCTTAGTCGTGACCGGAACGTCGAGAACCGTATTTCAATTACGGTGGTTGAACAGTTAGTTAATCAAATAATCTTCTAGAATGTTAAATTTATGGTATATAGACTAGATATATTATAACCAATATATAAAGATTTAAATTCATCAAGTTTTTTACATTAATGCGTATATTGCTTTACTTTCAGAATTTTTATTTCTTGGGAATGTTTATTATTTTTTGTACATAAAAATTAAAGTAAAAGAGTTCTGTGTAATCCTGAAACTTAGTTTTTTAAACATAAGAACCCATCATGTCATTTTCATGGATACATGACTTTAGACGTCGCATCAACGTATTAATATCCTGCTGTTGTATTCAAATATAACTGTATCACATCTCACATATGGGATTTATAAGATACCACCACCACTCTACTCCAATGAGGGTCAGTAGGCTTGAACCACTACTACCACTGAATTAGTGGTGATAACTGGCACCGACCGCTTAACGTGCTTCGTGGAGACTTGCACAGACAGATGTCTCCTCGCGATTCTATAAAAAAAATCTAAAAGCTAGAATTTGAAAAGACGATTTTGCCTGACCCAGAATTCAAACCCGCAATATTAGTCGAGTGCTAACGTTTAGATCAGCGCGGCAGTTAGGCGAGATAATAGATGCTAATACCAGTCCACATTAGTGTAATTCGCGCTAATTTTCAATTTACCGCAAACTGATTTACATAAATAATTCACTCACTCATTTGCAACGTGAATTGGTACGATATTCAGGAATTTCTTTTAAAAGTTATACTGTGGTCGAATTCGTAAATAAAGTCGAGAAGCATACAGTCTTTATAGTTAAACACCTGAATATACATGTACAATCATTCCGGGGTTATAAGAGAGAGATGGCCAATTAAAATATTTCTTAGATCCCGCTGTTCACTAAAATATGCTTAGTATAGTGCAAGACTTTAGATATAAAGGATAAATAGACAAGAATATTATACTGTGTTACCCGTACTTTCAGAATCATTTGAGTAGCTTCTTTAAAGCTTAATTTTTACGGGTTTGTTGATTCGATGCTAATGTATGGCTAATTGTGACGGATCGTAAATTTATCCTCATCGTATTCAACATATAATAATAATAAAATCTTTATTGCACAAACATAAGAACATAGACACTTAAAGTTATTTAAGCAAAATAAAAATGTTTGTGCAAAGGCCTATGATGATTTCTTCCAGGCACGCTTTGCATAAAAAAATAAAAAGATAATTTTAGTAAACAAGCAAATTTCAACTGGAAAAATACAATATACAATAAAAAAAGATAATTTAAACTGGAAATTAATACGAAAATAATAAAGGTAAACATATTATATAGATAAAATAACACACTTCACATCTAGGGAAGCATATGAAGGTCCTAAATGTGATTAATTCTAAAGCCAGTGAGACCAAGGCTATATATATCTAATCAATTTATATTTTTTCTGAAACATGTGTTAACCTTTATGATAATACGGATATCAAATATGTAAAAACGCATTTCCGTCCGAGTCACGAACCACATTCCACAGATTAAAAATCTGCTTAGTTATCACTTTCCGTTTTCGTTCTGTCGATCTCTGAATGTCCAAAGTCAAAGTAGGTTGACAGCTTATCTTATATTGGCTATGGCTAGAGGATTTTACCTTCCCTCAAATGGACCTCATACTCGTGCTATGAAATTACATTAACAACAAAGAAAATAATTTCCTGTTCCTCTTCTTTCTTTCCTCTGTCAGTTAAAACACACCCAACATTTCTATTTACCAGTGCCACTTTGCGGTTCCTAGTAGATGTCTCGCATTAGGTTTGTATGCTAAACTATCCTTTGTCGTTTCACGGGGTTTTAGAGTCTCCTCAACAGAGCTCACTAAATAATTACACATGTTATCACGTGACTATTAAACTAGCACCATTGTGTCTGTCTTAGCATTGTTCGCGTTCATTAATTTCACAACTATTCCCTTTAGCCACGCCCGAGGCTTTAGTATCGCGATGTCGCACGAGTTTATTTGACATCGCCTTAATTAGAGCCGCCTTAACCGGGACGTTAGAGCGCAATTAAAAACTAATTAGATTTGCAAAGTCGACGTCACAGCTTAATATTGTAACACATATCAATGTTAGCGGCAATATGTTTGATGCAAATTGTATGCTTTTGTATTAGGTTACTACTTTTCACGTGATGGCGTTTTATAAATTAAAAACCTATTTAAATTTAAGAAAATTTACGACACAAGCGGGATTTGAACTGGCATCCACAGTGTTATGTGCTGCGGCTCTTACTAATTGAGCCACAATGCCATACAGTAGCTCAACTTTTTATTTATATAATGATTTTGTGTACAAAAGCAAATTCCTCTATGAATTCAACGATATTACACCAACCACATATTTCATGTCCAGAATTTCAAGTAATAATAATAAATTGAACCCATGACATGTTAATACTAGAATCAAAGATACCTTTGAAAACATTATTTTTAGAAGTTTTAAAAATATTTACTCAAAGTCAAAGACAAAAGTCATTTATTCATGTAGGTAACTTATGAACGTCATAGTCACGACCAAAATAGATTACTTATATTTTATAGGGAGTCGTGTATGCATATTAAAATTAATAATTTCATTACATTACAAATTTAATATAGTGCAGTAGCTTCTTTTACATTGCGTTATCGAAACATGTTTCTGGCGTTCTTTCTCATCGGCCTCTGTATTTTCTACTTCTATAGCATAAAAAAATTTGTATTCTTTTCGCAAAAGAGCATCAAACATGACCCACCTGTTCCGATCTTCGGGAACCACGTGCAGGTCGCGTTCGGCAGAAGAACACAGACTGAAGTATTTAACAGTCTCTACAAAAGATACCCCTCCGAGAAAATCGTAGGGTACTACAAAGGTACGAAACCGGAGTTTCTCGTTCGAGATCCCGAAATTATAAAACACGTCTTAAATACGAATTTCTCAGAGTTCTGTAACCGAGGCGTTAGGCGTGATCCAAAAGTGGAACCGCTTATGTTAAACATGTTTTCGGAAGACGGCAGCGTCTGGAAGTTACTCAGGCACAACCTATCGCCGGCTTTCTCGGGTAGTAAGTTGAAAAGTATGTTTCCCATAATCGTTAGTTGTACGAATAAACTTGTAACTGTGGCGAAAGAACTGGCACTCGAAGGAAAAGAGTTTGACGCATGTATTCTATGCGCGCGATTCACCATAGACCTGGTAGGTGCTAGTGGATTTGGCATCGACATGAACACAATAAACAACGAGCAATCCCTCTTCTTAAAGCTTCGCGAGCTGATGTTCATAAAGTCTAATTGGCAAATGTTCCTGTACGGTATCCACGATCTCTTTCCCGAATCCTTTATTAAAAAGATACATATATCGAGACCTCAAGTACGTCTGATAATTAAGCAAATATTAGACAGTGTTCGGAGCCAAAGAACGAATGACACAAATCCACGCAACGACTTTATTAATCTTCTACTAGAGCTAGGTAAGGTCGGAAAAATCAGTGGCGAGTCGTTAGAAACGGATGCAAATGGTAAATATAAAGAGATGGAAATGGACTTCAACGATGATCATATAATTGCTCAACTGTTCATATTCTTCATGGCCGGTTTTGAAACTTCTTCGACTACAATGAGTTACGCGATGCATAAGCTCGCGTTCCACCCAGAAATCCAACAGGAAGTTCAGAGAGAAATTGATAAGTCGCTTGCTAAACATAACAATAAATTATGTTATGAATCAGTTTCGGAAATGGTTCTATTGGAGCTGATCGTTAAAGAGTGCCTAAGACTCTTTCCACCAGCCGGATACACTTCGAGGATTTCGTCAAATGATTGCGTTTTACCCGACGTTAATGTTGAGATCAAGAAAGGTACAAAAATTATAATTCCCATACAAGGAATTCAACTGGATCCCGTGTACTTTGAAAATCCAGAACAATTTAATCCAAAGAGATTTTTACATGAAACATTGCAGCCCCGCCATAAATATGCATATATTCCCTTTGGAGAGGGACCGAGAAAATGTATCGGTATGTTTTTTTACCATTTTACGTACTTGTATATATATTGCTATTTATTTTATAACCTTTACTTTATATCTTTATAACGCTTTAATCTTTTTTAAAAATATAATTCGAAGATAGTATATAATTTCTAATACTAAGTATATGCTGGTCTATGCTAGTTTTTCACGTTCAATAAAACACTGTTTAGGATACTGTTCGTAGTTTACGCTAGTAGTCCACATTAAATAAAACATTTTTTACGGTTTAAAACTTGAAATATATTAGTTAATTTATTTGCAATTAGGTGGCTAAGGTTATCGTCATTATAAAAATGTAAATAAGTTACATAGGTATATTTCTTTATGCTTAAATGTTAAGGTGTCAGTGTGAGTAGGGTGTGTAATCGGTTAAGATGTCTCCTAAACAATTATTTTAATCCAGATTTTTTAGTTTTTAATATTGGCAATACTTAGTAGTTTTTCAAACACCTTTTTTTACATATTAATTCTATTTTCAGGAGCTCGCCTAGGTACATTGGAAACTATGGCCGGCTTGGCGGCAGTTCTTAACAAATTCGACATTAAGACCTCACCATCTTCAACTAGGAACATCCATCCAAACAGGGCCGCTTACCTTATTCAGTTTATAGATGGAGGTTTACCGCTTCGCCTAACACTGAGAGAAAAATCTAGTGTGATAAGTAACGGTTTTCCTTAAACTACTTGTCGTATATTTTAAATGAACAATAATAACGTAGTTGTTTAGGTGTAAGTTGAATTTTTTAATTGTTATACATAGTTACAATTTATTTTAACTACAGCGTGTTCGATGATATTTTTCGAAAAATACCAACTACAACGTAACAGATGGCGCTGGCGTATTTACTTTGATATTAGGGACCCCCCATGACTACGACTACTGCATTGCACGGTTTATGAGGATTTGTAATAAATAATATAACACATCTTTATTTTGAATTCTTCGCTTTAAGAAGTACCTATTTTATCCCGAAGATACCCCAAAGACTTTTAAAGTTACATACTTTTCTACATGTGAAGAAAGTTCAATGCAGAAGCTGAAAATCGCATAAATAAGTGGAAAACTCTGATACTGGTAATGGACTTTGAGATAGCTTCGAGACGTTTAAGGTGTGAGGGAAGTTTAATTTATCTCTTATGTCAATTTGAGTGAAGTTTTATATAGACGACATTTGGAAATAGTTTCTTTACAAACCCATCTTTTTAATAAGCTACGGTTAATTTCGAATGGTGGAGTTTACAGTATAGTTATAGATGTCGTCTTTTACAGATAGACGTAGCCTATCCATTCTTGGAGTTGTGAATTTTTAACTAACTTGGTGAATGCTTTCAGCTCCAACCCTTCCTAAGTTTCGCGATTTACATAACGCGAGTAACTTTGCTTTTCTCTTAACGTACTCTGACCGGAATCCCGGAGGAGTGCAAGTCTTTTACCTTATTTTGAAATAACCTTTCCTTTAAATAAAACACTTTAACGGTTTAAAACGCGATATATTAGTTAAACTGATTTGAAAATTATTTTTAACTTCGGCCCGACGTTTCGGATACGGATCAGTTTAACTAATATATCGCCTTTTAAACCGTTAAAGTATTTTATTTAAATGTGTACTACTCGCGTAAGCTATAGACAGTATTTAATAAACTTTCCTTTAAAATGGTAGGACAATGTAGTAACTAGCTTATTCACTTGGATTTAAACGAACTTAAACTTCGACTTAAAACTAGGTATTTGTTTTCTAATATTAGCCTGTCACAAATTCGATTTAATTCAACAATTTCAGAAGAAATAGGTACTAAATGAATAATCAACGGGTCACACGTTCCAACCCCACCAGGTAGAACAAGTGTGTAATAAATTTATGTTTTTTATGAAATTTATTCGCCTGAAAAGCTGTATGTAAAACGGGTGGTGAGAATACCTGTCAAGTTTAATCGCCTTTCGTTTTCGTCTGTGGATTATCGGAAACGATATTTTATCTTCCATCAAGTAAACCACACGCTTGTCTAACCTCCTGTATAAAAAAAGTGAACTAGATCGAAATTTTAAGTTTTTTCTAATGGCGTAAGACAATTAATGAATAATTTCGTATAGTGAAGAAAATACCCCTTATCAAGACGTTTATAAATAAAAGCAACATCGTTGGATTGTCACAAATATGTTCGGTCAAGCGGTACTCTACTCACCTCAAGTCCTGAGATAACAATACACAGAGGCACGTCAACAATGAGACCTTTGTTTCGTATTTAATAAACAGCCATGTTAATGTCCATTTGAAATTTAATTACGCGTACGAGCTAAAAAAATTAGTCATATAAGTGCAAGTTTCATGAACTTAATATTAAGTTATTAAGGTTTTTACAGCCTTGCAAACATTTTCATAGAAAGCTCTAGCTCAAAGCAGTTATAAAACGGTAAATTAATATTATTATCCGATATATTATATTTTAATTTCGTCAAGATATCTTTTTGGAGATGAGCAACTGTTTGAAGGCTTGTCTTCTTTAGCTTCTATAAAAGTAGTAAGTAACAAATAATTTATTGCTATTAAGATTTTTTTTTTAATTTGCCCAAAATAACTATTCTACGCGGACAAAGTCGCCGGCACAGCTAGTATTATATAGAACATATATTGTGACCTTAACAATAAAGAAGGGTGTAATGGCTACTTAAATTGCTCTAATGATCACGTTGCCCCGAAACTGTCCCCAGAGAGTCCTACTTATTATATTTACGGTATTTGTGAGCACATTTCCTGGAACATTATGTTATAATAACCCTTAAGGTCGAGTAGTTTTGCACAGCCCCCGCGATGCTTATAACTCGCTACGCAGTCATTATTCTAATATATTTTACATTCTGGTAAAAGAATTTACTTTCTCTGAGAAAATGCAATTAATAGAAAACAATAAGATTTTTAAATGTGTTTTACATACGTCTGAACTTTCATCATGAAAAATCATATATAAAGAAAAAATGTTCTACTAAATAAAATATGCAATTTTAATATTTTTTTGAGATTTTCCAATGGGCATTTTTATAATGCTCACATTACGTCAGGTATTAGGTACATTCAACGTTCCCACCGCTGGTACAGAGTTTATAGTTCAACTTGATGTTCTGAAGCTTACTACGCCACATCACGTTTAATTATTTTTTAGCAACTTAAATAAATTCACGGTTTACTAAATACATTAAATAAAAATGATATATTATTCTCTCTTAGAAGTCATTTTTACTGTAAATGTTATTTATTACCAATATATAATATGGCATCGAACAAAAAAAAAATCTGTATATTGCGCGATTAAACAAACCACTTTCAACAGTTTAAAATGCGATCTTTATTTATTAATTTACTTTGCCGTAATCACGACTAAATAAAACCTCTAAAACGTCCGGTCATCGATAAAATAAGTTAACTAGTATAAATCGCGTTTAAAACCGTTAAATCTGTATCGATATGAATTCAGCATTAACCAGCTGAAACGCTTGAAACTTTCATTGCCCCATGAAAACTGCATTACACGTTTCACCCCTACTTTGAATTAACCGATACAGGGAACGGGCAACCATTTACGCGAATAAATTTTCATTTCAACCGCTTTACCGAAAAATCCTCGCGATTATTTAAATTGAACGGTACATTTGCGATGTCGGAACGCATTCTTTCACGTGAACGTAATTAATGTAGACGTGAAATTAACGTACGTTTGAAACGTAAACAAACAAAATGGTTTTACATCGAGCGAGAGCAGTTAGTATTCGATAACAAGAACTACAATTTAATAAAGCCCGTTTTCACCCTCCTGTGTTCCTTGCTGTTGTTTTTCCAAATAGAGCTTCATAAATTTATTAATTTTCCAGAAACATCCACACTTCCTGGGAAATCTGAGTATTAAACGGGTGGTTCGCATATCGATTCCGCGAATCACCCTTCATAGATATCCAGTCTTTGGATTTACAAAGTTCCAAGCCAATTTTGGAAATCCAAAACAGTGCATCGCCTTTCACTGTAAATAACAGTCTATCAAGTGAAGCCTGTTTGTCTGTCCTAATCTGTCATAAAAAATACGGAAGCAATTTTCGCTCTAGCATTATCATAAAAAAGGCTCTAATTCTTTGAAAATACTGCAAACAAACTCGCAGGCTATTAAGGGTCGAGAAATATGATTTTCCGGAACGTCTCTCTGGGAATATAAAGAAAACTTTAAGCTGAGTCCTATTCTTTTGAACATTAGACATTTTTACCGCGATATTTTCGAGCTATGATTTTCCTTATAGCTTACAACAATGTGGCTTTTTTAACTGTTAAAATAATATTTGTGACTTGAAATTGTTACTCTTTATATAATAAAAATAAATTAATAAAAATATCGTTTTAACTGCGAGACAAATAATGTTTACAAATCTACTTTGTATTGTGACGTCACATCAAAAGTGGCGGATGGAGAGTTTATTCGAATTTCAAAAACCGCTTCTTGGTATTCCTATTTTTATATACTTTTCGTATGTTGTTCTTCTTTTTTCGAGTAAACGATATAGACAAACGCACACTATTTATACATTAATAATACTATGGTATTTTAATAAAAAGTATATTTATCGAAAGAAAATTCAAAATACACCCCCGTATTAGATCCCATTTTATTCGTGGAAGACTGTGATTTACGAGTGTAGCGTTCAAAGGACACAGGGTTCTATAAAATTCGTAAATATTTATTTAATTTCTTTCATTACGTACAACATTATGTAGATTTACGAAATTCAAATTAATTATAATAATACATTTTCTTTTACAATCAATCCTCAATCTTTTTATAAAAGATATCAGAAGTATAAGAATTTCGTATTCAAAGATTTAGAGACAGCATAATATACTAGCGTAAAACGTAAAATTATTATTTTTTTGTTTAATAAAATGTTCCTCATTCATTCTACACTAATAAGAGTAAGTCCGACTGACTTAAAGCCTACGAACCCGCACCGGTGAGGTGCGGTGGGTCTTAGATTTTAAAATCTCTCTCGTATGACCTGTGCTCAGCTGACAGATATTATTATATTTAATAAAAATTAATACAGAAATACATTTTATTCGATTTATAGACAAGTCATGATCATGAGTTTTTTGTTTGTTTTATTATTGCAAAAAATCTCGTTCTTTAAAAATTACGATGTCTATTTTTACTTCTTCGTCAGGCTATATCATTATTGCAATAAATACTATTTTTTAATTTAAATAATTGTAAAATAAACTGTTATTCCCGTAAGGTTACATCGTAGAATTTCGCTGAAAATTTGACTCAATATGACGTACGCGATACGACAAAACACTTCACATAGAAATACTCGGAAGCGGAACATATTATTTTTATCCGACATTAAATAATATGCGGATATTAAGGGTATATGGCAGTTTCCGTGGGCGTGAACAGACTCTGCTGGGGACAATTTTAATGCGATATTACATAGCTTATAAATCATTTGGTACAAGACACGAGCGAATTGAATTATTTCTAAGAAAGTGAAATTTAAAGCAGCGTGGGTTTTTGACAAGTTTTTTTTATTATAAAAGAAAACAGACTTGCATGGAATTCACTAAGTGGAAGCTGAAGTACCCCAGCTATAACATCTAGATAAGATGGACTGTCGACCTATTGAAGATTGGACGTTTAGCGAAG